TATCCCCTACACGGGCACCCCTACCTCCTCGGGTATCCCCTCTGCATTGGGTGACGTCATCTCGGGTACCACCTCCACCTCCATCTCCGGTACCCTCTCCTCCTCGGGTACCCCCTCCATGTCCTCAGGTATATCCTGCATGGGCACCCCCTTCACCACAGGTATCCTCTCTCGCTCCTCCATCCCAATCGTGTCATTTAAAAATGAATCAAATGCAGCAACTGATGGCCACGATGAGTCAACATACCTCACCGGACCCCTCCCCCCTGATAACCACCGACCCCTCCGTCACGATAGCCGCCAGTCCCTCCGTCTCGATAGCCACTAGTCCCTCCGTCACCCCCTTCGTCCCGATAGTGACCTGTCCCTCCGCTAGCTCCTCCATCTCGATAATCGCTCGTCCCACGCAGGCCTGCAATGTCACCCCGTATCGCTGCAACTTCAGCATGAAGGTCTCCTAATTCAGCTCGTAACATCGCGACATCATATCGTAACTGTGCCATGTCCCCGAACTCAGCTCGTAGTGTCACGACATTATCCCGTAACTCTGCCATGTCTCCTCTCATCTCCATCAAGAGTTCGAATAAATCAATCGTCGAAGCACGGGGACTAGGTGCAGGAGGTGATACTGGACGGCCCTCCTGAAAAAATAACTATTACAAATGAATAACCTATCAAATAAAATAAAACGACAATCGAAGAATTATTTTTAAGTAACATACTCTATCTCGATCAACGCTGGACTTAGGCATCTGAACCTCTGGCGTAGCCGAACGTGATCTTCTCAGCGGAGGTGACATCCTCGCTGAACGTGCTCTCCTCGATGGAGGTGATATCCTCAACGGAGGTAGTACTGAACGATCTTCCTAAAAAAATAAATACTACAAGTGAAGCACTTAATTACAAGATCAAAGCGATATTCAACAAATCCTGCACAGTAACATACCCTATCTCGATCCATCCTGGACTCAGGCATCTGATCGTCATGCATAGTACGAAGAGGCAATTCGTGAATATAAAACAGACTCTCCTCCTCGATCGACGGTGCCAATTCAGTGAGAACTTCAAGCTGTCATTTTGATATATCACAGTTAATGACTATGTATTCAGATTGTAAAAGGATGTACAACATAACTAGCAATTGTATAATACGTACCTCAGGATCGTCGAGGGGAGCCGATAACTGTCTGGCAAGCGGCTTGTCTTGTGCTCGCCAGTGATGCATTCGAGGATAGCGTGTCTCTCCTCTCCTCGCATACCGACTGGCCAGGATGGGGACAGTCTCGTACACCCATATCTGAAACAATTACAATTATTATGTATAGAATTCAATAAAAAAAGTGTAGGTAATTCATCAACTTAAACATATACCTGCAGCGCCAAAGGCAATCCATATGCATCGTACTTGCGCTCAGGCTTATCCGCCTTTGGCATTGAAAACCCCCTCCTAAATACGCGTAATGTACCAAGAAAACATCTTCAGTCCCATGGGTAGTTGTTGAAGGCATCAATATCATCAACCTCCAAATGGAAAATGTCAATCGATATCTTCTTGTGATGACATCGGAGTATGCTCTCGATGATAAGCACCAAGCCCAACTTCAGCCTATCAGACATCCGATCACATCTCCTTAATGCATCTCCTAACTGCGCTAGAATAACCGTCGTCTGTCCATGAAAATATTCATTCAATAGCCTCCTGTTCCTCGGAACACAGGCCCTCGCCTCTGCATCGTCGGTATATCGCAGTCCAGTGATGAGGGCAAACTCAAATATGGAGAACGTAGCTGCCTTGCCCCCAAGATCAAAATGGTGGGCGTCTCCGTCAACTGGTTTCAGCAAGTGACATAACAGGGCATCGAGCAGCTGCCCAGATCACTGTACATCACGCAGCGAATACAATGGCCATAAGCATGATCGACGTAATATGTCTGCATGATCATCATCCAGCAAATTTAATACCAAAGCGAAGCTGGTAAAGTTACAATTCGACGTAACTTTACCAGGGATCTGTCTGACAGCGTCGTCCAGATGATATTCCATCCTGCAAAATTTCAAATATTAGAATCCTATGCAAATGATGTTCGATAAACAAAAATATTAAAAAAAGTATACTAACACACTGCTACTAGATGCAATAACCAACTGATAACAAAATAAACAAAATGAACGTAAATTACTATTTTCCATATACTTAATTTGCTAATTTGATCGTTTCTTTTAATATTTTAATTGCTTATTTTAATTATTTATCTAACACTTAATTTACTTTTTCATTTTTAATTAATGTTTAAACACTTATTTTAATTCTTTATGCATATTGCTTATTTCATAGTTATAAATTTATTTTAATTGCTTCATAAAAAATTAATTTAATTGACATTTTCATATCCTAATTTAATTGTTTATTTTTATTATTTCACAAATGTTTATATATTTATTTAAATTCTTTATGCATATTACTTATTTAACATGTAATTAATTATTTTAATTATTTTAATAACACTTATTTTGATTGTTTATTTTAATATTTTAATTATTTTTCTAACACTTAATTTACTTTTTCATTTTTAATGAATGTTTAAATACTTATTTTAATTATTTACGCATGATGCTTATTTCATATTTACAAATTTATTTTAATTGCTTTGCAAAAACTTAATTTGATTAATATTTTAATTTCCAAATTTAATTGTGTATTTTTATTGTTTTACAAATGTTTAAATAT